TCGGCGGGTCGGTCGGCGAGGGTGTTCGGACATGTTCAGAGAAGATCAGGTTCACAGTTGGAAGCAGTTGAACTCCATCACTCTCTCAGAACAGCAAAACTGTTCTGGGCTTTGGGAATCACAACAAATCGGAAAGAACACATAAGAACAAGAACAGTGGCGGCGGTATCCTTGGATGGCTTGGTGACTGGATGGCTTAGTGTAGGACCATCCATCCCTTGCCAGCTCGCGCAGCTCTGAAAGGCCATCGGGGTGACGAACTATTCCTTGCGGCATTTGAAGCAGCTGCTGAAGACCTGCAAGATCAAGTCGGGGAGTCTCAGAACGGCCTGGAAGGCCATGGAAGGCCTCATATCAAATCTATAACATCTTGCCAGACAAGCTTAGCTAGCCATGGGCTAGCCTTTGGCCATGGAAGGCCTCATATCATACTACCAAATCTGGAACATCGGTTGTGACACCAAGGTAGACATCTTGCTATAGAGAAGCTTAATTCGCTAGCCAAGTGACATCCGCCCTTGGGTAAAAATCACCATCTTGCCACATAAGCTAGGGAATTAGTCATGTTCCGTGCTTCAAGCATGCGGTGCTGTTTGAACATTTGGTCTCGGGATGAAACTTTGCGTTTGTTTCACTGTCTTGGCCAAGCAGCTCCATCACAAATTTCCCATTGAGAGCTCAACCACTCAGATCGAGCAGCATGAGAGATTATCACCAAACTTCATCGGACGCATCCACAAACAATACATGAGGTTCAGCCAGGAACAAGCCACAAGAGAGCTTGCTCAAGCATAGACACACGGCTAAGTTACGGTGTCCATGCAAAGTTGCTAGACCGAGGCCCATGGTGAACCAGGTGGAATTTCATCCACGCTTAGTTCAACAAGAGATGCTGGACACCGGGTGGGTGGCTGGCGGGGTGCTGCTTGCTTGTGGTATAATCGGATTTTGGGTAAATCACAGGTCCAGGTCCCAGGCTCATGAAAGGAGCGATGTGCATTTGGGCTACTGCAAGAAGACTGGTGAAGATGTCGATCGCCATGGAGACATCGGTGTGGTCCTTCATCCGGACGGGTCGCGCGTGACATCGCGTGACGCGTGTTCTGCAAGGACTTCTGTCAGAAGCATGGCATCGCGCTGCAAGCCTATGCCTCCTTGGGATCTGGCGATGCGAAGCAGGCGACTGGGAGTTGCAGAGATTCAATGGTTTGGAACGGATGCCTATGGTCAAGAGATGTCAAGAGTGAGTTGTGTAGCTAGCCCTTTCTATGCTTCCATTCGGGCCTTCCTTTTCGGCAAATATGAAGGGGCCGGGGTCTTGCAATGTCAGCGAGTCAGACCTCAGACCTGACTTGAATGCGGCAGACGAGCAAAGCGTTTGATGCTCCTCAGAGATCTCCTGAGGGAGGTTTACCCATGTTTGGATTCTACAAGTCATAACTCTGGAATATGGATGAATATGGTACTGTAACAGCAGATTTACCAAGACTCTTAGGCGGTTCGTGTCAACAAACATTTTAGCCTTGCCACAGAGGTTCCTTTGCAGAGGCACTTGTTGCACAAAGTCCAGTTTTGTTCAAATCCTTTTTGCAGTTACCACCACTTTCTCTACACAAGCCCTTCACGCGGGTGGGGTGAAAGAACACTGACTTCGAGCTGGACCCGGCTACCGCCCCCCTTGTTCTTCCTTTATCGGAGCCACACCGCCGTCCCTCATCGCGGCGGCGGCAGGCGGAGGACTTCTTCGCGTTTCCACCGGTGCAGCAGGCGGCCAAGGCGCACAAAGCCACGGGAGCCCAGGCACCGAATTGCGGCGCGCGGTGCGGCCCACGCCACCGCGGCGAGCGTGGCGCGACCGAGCGTTCAACGTGTGTTTGCCGCGCGACCCAGAGGGAGGGGGAGGGTCTCCTTCACCCGCGTTGCTCAAAGCGCCTCACCCAGAGGAGCGGAGGTCGGTGTCCGCGCTTCACCTCGTGAGTGGCGCGCGCGCGCGCCCGTGAAACGAAGACGATCGCGTCGTGGCGGGGTCGGTCGAACGGTCAGGTTTTGCTGAAGTGGGCGATGCAGAAGGGCTGCCTCTGGGCAGAAGTGAATGGGGTTCTATGGGATTTCTAGGCATGAGGATGGCACGAGGGACTGAGGGACTTCTTCAGATATTCAAAGTCCAAAGTCTTTAGGTGTTTGGGCTGTCTCCATTTAGAAGTTCAGTTTGCTGGAAGGCTGTGAGTGTTGATATTCCCAGACTATGTGGTCTTCCAACTACTTCCTTCAATCAGATGCAGTTACCTGTTTTGTATAGCCCGTCAACATGTGTCGGAATCCCTTTTCTTTTCGCGCTGCGGCTCCGTGATGACATAGAATGACCAAGAGCCTAGCGGAAGACTCCGGATAAATTACCAGCTACTATCCCAGACACTCCATGTATGCCATATATGCCTACATTGACCCCCCAAACCACCCCAATGTAGGCATGTATGCCATACATGGAGTGTATGGGTATAGACACTGTCCACGTCTAGACACCTGACACCACACCGGACTCACCGCAATGCCCTGGGAACGCTCGGTGCGGCATCGATCGGTGCGGCTCCTTGAGGCCATGTGATTCCCAAGTCGGTGCGTCCCGAGCGGATGATGGAGAACGCGAACGTCTTCGGTTTCAAGCTGTGCCTGGGATTGGTGGCTTTTTGGACCCCAAAAACCCCTTGCCGTGGGGTTCAAGGCCTTAGTAGTGGAGGACGAATGGATGAATGGAATTACGCGCTTCTGGCTTTGGAGAGATGGATGACACTCGCAAGATACACTCTTGAGAATGTTGTTTGGTCCTTCAAGCAGGGTTGGTTCAGGATTTAACTGTGCTGAAACGCAGCCTTGTTCCACTGTGGAGGAGGTGAAATGACAGTACTCTCATGTTCCAGAAGAGGAACCTGATCACACGAGATTCTCCCTCCCACCCCAATATTTTGTTGCTCCCTCAGAGTTGATGGCACAGAAGAGCAGCCTCGTGGATCAACATGGATCAACAGCAGCTGAGGTCGAGCTCCGAGATGAAAGCCTTGGATGGCTTGCCACCTGGAGAATGATAGAATGTCTTGTGTGGGTTTCTTTGGGCGGGACGTTTCGCGGAATGTGTGGCATGGTGACGGTTTCGCTGCTTTTTGACGACAAGGATTACTATTGGTTCGTAAAGATTTTTAAGCTGGTGCCAGATCTTTTTTTCAAGACAAAGTAGTAGTTTCCACTTGAGCCGGTGCTGGATTTGTTCCTTCAAGAGTATGTGGCCTCGTGGTCGTTGACCGGCTGAGGCACACGGGCACGCGCTACGCGTGGAAGGGGGTGGATCCCGACACCGTGCAGTGAGCCTGCCGATGAAGTGAAAAGACAGTGAGGCAGTGCCGCAAGATTCGTAGTGAAGATTGGTGGGTGTAGTCACGCAAGTCTACCATATGTGAGCCAGTATGGTTGGTGATGTGAGCCAGTATGGTTGGTCAGTCAGTGCAGTTGGTTCGAACAACCAATATCGAATCATACGCAGCTCGCGAGCTGGCACCGAAGAACATCCCCTGCTTGGCTGGGGATGACACCCCTTTTTCGGCCGACAAGGACGGCCCCCGGAGGATGAAAACATCCGATCCAAGCGAGCCACCGTCGTCACTGCAATGCAGTGCTGTTGCCTGGGGAGTGCGAATACACCTGCGACTTGATTCTGCGAATTCGACCCTATAGTGGATATAGCTGCAAGCAATGAACGGTTTGGACTTGAAGCTGTTGAACAGCAGGCCGTTGAGTTTGCAGGTCGACTTGCAGAGTCAGGGTGTGTCGGGTGCTATTCTTGGAGTGTCTGGGTGTGAAGACCATGACAAAAAGCGACGGTGCTTACAGGCCGGGAGGTGAACTTAAGGGATCGTTGAATCATTCCATTCCTCAACTCATATCCCAGACACGACCCATGGGACTGCCAGTCCGGACTGCCGATCAAGCCAGACCCCCCTGGCACCACCCCTGGCCGTTTCTCGGCAGTCCTATGCCAGTCCCATGGAGTGTATGGGTATGACCACACTGCAAACATCTGACCGCACCGAGTCGTCCTCCGCAAGGTCCAGGTCCTAGAGGTCGAGGTCTAGTGGAATGCCTTTGTTGAAGAGGTGATTGATGTGGTTTAACCGGACCGCCACCAATCCGGTCCGATTCGTTCCCTTTGCATCCCAAAGAAGCAGTGCATCAATGAGAAGCAACCTATATTTTTGAGACCATCCTAATGGTACTCGTAGCAGCTTGTTGCACTGTTACTAAGAATAGTGTGCCCAAGGACGTCTTCAACGAGTTGAGCTGCAAGATAGCAAACCACGCGCGCTCCTGAACACAGTTGAAGAGTCAATGATACTTTAATTGTCTATATGCTGTCCCTTCATGACAATACAATACAATATGTTATAGCAACCATTCTGGCCCATTCTGGCCCTAAAACCCTGACGCCTGTGTCTTCAGGATTTGGCCAGGGAACTATCAGGTCCCTATAGAAAGATGCCAGCTTCGCCAGTGATTTGGACAAAGACGTGTGGCAAATCCGAACACGTGGAAGGATCAACATCAATCAAAATGTGGCCATAATTTTAAAACAATGGCCCGATGAATGATGGCCATAACTTAAACATGGATGAATCATATGGGAATCATTTAAACAAAATCCTAAGTTTAACAAAACCATACAAAACCAATCAGAATCCTAAGCTTAATCATTTCGCGCTTTTGATGAATCAACCAACTAATGGCCATGAATACTCCTCCTCCATACTCGTCGTCCCGACATCCCAAAGCACACGACGACTGTGGACAAGAGGTTTCCGCGACGATTCATGAACTCTCTACCAGTGCTCTTAATGTCCTTATCCTCATCATCCAATCAACCTAATGCCTTAATGCATCTTAAAAGAGCCTTAATTATCTCAAGATACCTCGTTTAACCTACTACCTCATTTGATCTAGCACTCTGATTGATCCCACCTTACTCGTATCTAAAAACTGAATCATATCGCTCGCGATCAGTGCTGCCATGCGCTTCGACGCGCAGACAGCACCCATCGCAGACCTTCTGGGCACGCAGAAGGGCGCCCGATGCGCTCTGCATTGCCCGCTGGACGTAGCGCCACCACGGGCGGCTGTGGTAGCTGTGGCTCGTTGAGGAAAGCGACGAATCCAAAGAATGCGAACATTCACAGTAGACGGTATATATGCATGCATGCATTATACACATCACATACATGAATCCTTTGAGAAAACGACCATTGAAGTCGCACGATCATTTTTCTGGACAAGCACACATGAGACTCGACGTGTCCTTTGCTAAGTTTGATGTCCTGTTCGTTGTGTTCCTTTGTCGCCTGAGGCGGTGCCGATGGGAGCTGCCATGAAGCCGCCAAAGACGCTGAGTCACTTGGAGCCAAAACGGAGATGCCAGACGCATGGGCATGATCAGGGTTTGAAGGTCCGTGAAACTAAGCTGAGTGTACTTTTGGAATCAGATGAGTTCATGCGGTTGGCCTGGCTTTGGCAATGTTGTGATCCTGGCATCTAGAAGAGCTATTCCATCCCAACTCGCTTGTGGCCAGTGACCGAACTTGGCATATCCATGCTTGCATCGCTGTTCTACGAGCGGATCTCTCACTGAGGCTCATTTGCCTATGCACCCTTTGAGGCCAATGATGTTTCGAGGGGCGGACAGGAGATGAACATGGGTCTAGAAGAGGCCAGCCTCCTACTTGGAGGAAACCATCGTCTTTTGCGGTCTTTGAAGGGTTGTTGGGGATGCCTGAGCTTTCAGTTCAGGAGGGCAAGTGAACCGTTTGAGTTCCTGCAAGCTCGAGGAGCCAGCTTGCTTGTAGAACTGTAGCAACCACCTTCCTGTTCTTTCTGAAGAAGCAAACTACTGTGATCTCCGTTGTCAACTTCCGCAAGACTGAGTGTGTGAAGTGGGATGCCCACCTATCAGCATTTGGGAATTCGGAATTCTGTCCATCATTTGCTTCAAGACTTGTGTCGTCTATCCATGCAATGCCTTGTGGCAGTCTCACTTCATCTACTACCGTTCGTGCGGTTCAATACATGGTGCTTCGTGTGGACTTTGTCCCGCCTCGTTGGCCCTCCACTCGTTCAGGCTTCCATGGCCCGCAGCGGAGATTTTCTTCAGGCACGAACCTGGGAATTCGTTGATTCGATTCCCAGCTGGTGCAAGCCAGAAAAAAGCGACTGATGGTTGCTGCTAGTATGCATATTCCCCATTGAACAGGGAGCCGTTCGGGGTTACAGGGAGTTCCCCAACCGCGATTGCTAGATTCTTTCGTAAAACCATCCTACAAAAAGGAAGACTCTTGGAACACGTCAAAGGTAGACACCATGCCATTTTGACAAACTTCGAAGGAACATGGTTCAATCATTTCGATCGGATAAGCCATTCATTGCACAAGTCAATTCATGCCATGGTCCTCTTGTCCCCTTTTGTGGGGATTGCCCACATTCTATCTACCTCAGGTTGACGATCGACTAAACATTGGGAACCCAAAGACAGACAAACACTCTGATCCGCAGAACGGCTAGACATCCAGCGGCGACTCTTGGCCGACTTTCTCTCATGGCCAGCTGGTTCCACACTGCCCACCCCTTCTCAATTGCAAGAGGGCAGTGAGAGAAATGCCAAGCTGCATGAAGTCAACGTATCCATGAACCCTGAGCTTGATCAACAACTATACACACCATTGGGTGGGTGTTTTTTTCGTCCTCGTCAATCAGCGGCTTGGACGTGCTGTGGGGAAGAAGGGCTCTGATTCGGCCGACCGTCCTCGGGGAATCCGGAGTCGAACGTTTTCGAACACGCGCAGAACTGAACCGCCTTCTTCCCGCGAGGGGACATCGATGGTTCGTTCGTTCGTGGCGGGCGTTGCCCGTGCGGTTTTGAACCGTGCATAGTCTCAATCTGATTATCTCGTGATTTGTCCATCTCCATCACCTTCATCATGCCCAATGAGTCAGGTCAATATTGACATTTTGGTATCGTTTTGTTCCTTTTTCCTACCGTGCCCTTTTCGTTGTCGCAGGTGCCTGCCAGCCTGTGTGAAGCTCAGTCGGAACAAGTCACGCTTGGCTTTAGTTGGAACGTTGCCACCTTGTGATGGCACCTGTGGCGCAGGAGTTCCCTTCTTATTAGCTTAGCTGGCACTTGGATCCATAGCCACAGGTCGTTTGGAGGCCCTGGACCCTGCTTCAGATATCCAAACAGAACCGTTGGTCACTTGCTCATTCACAAGTTGCACCCCTGAACGCAGAATTTTTTCGGCTCGGTCACGTGAACTGACCTGGATGGTATACATACAACAAACATGCACAAAAGCTGCGTTCTACCGCAGCGTTGTAATGCGGCGGCCTGGACCCAAATCTGGGAGGCTTAGCTTAGCGCCGTGAAATTATGGACGGTGCTCGGTTGGGCGTGAGCAGTGTGGCTTGGCTTCCGGTTTTTCCTTTGGAAGCATTGGGAGGGACCCCAGTGTGTAGATGAGCCTTACTGGGGCCGAACGCGGCAAACTTAGACAATTTGTTTCACATCCAGATCCAGAGCTGTTTTACAGTTTTTTTGGAGAAGCCGTCACGCTCTGCTTACGTGGGTTTGGAATTGCAAGTGATGCCACGAGATGTACAAGGTCTAAGGCCCCGAAAGCAAGCCAGCTAGACTGTTCCTGGTTTTCTTGGCTCAGTCTCGGCATCTCCGCTTCCCAGTGGGTGTCCGGGCTTCAAGCCAAGAAGAGCATGGTCAAGCCAAGAATTCGGCTTCCAACATCGTCAAGCCTCCGTTCATGCACGTTCCGTGCGCATTCGGAACCACTCTGTCGGACTCCCTCCGGTCGGCCACGCCTGACTCTGTCCTCGGCTCTTTCCAAGACTGAGGTATACTAAACTTATCCACTATTACTACCCTGGAGCGGCGGTTTACATAGATCTCTGCCAAGAGATAGTCTGATCGATAGTTTTTTTTTTGGAGCCTTTCGAGTATATAGCCTAATAGTTATGTTGAATAGGTCCGTCCCGCCAACATACCGCGGCTTTGCTTTGGACGGACTCGTTCCGTTTGGTGCTTTGGACCCCGCCGCTGCTGGAGGCTACAGCTCCGGCCGCGGCCAGCAGCACCGGTACGACTGTCCGGCTGGAGGAGATCATGGCGAAGTTGGAAGAAGTTGGAGTCTTGGTTGAAAAAGGCTTTGGCAGAATGAGAGGTTTTGTGAAGGGGAGGCGGTTCTCTCTTATGTGATTTGACTCTTTGACATGCTTTGACTATATATGATAGACATTTGGGGTTCTTTTAGGAGCTGCTGTGAGACGTTTGCAACCTTGTACTTGTGTGGATACCTCAATCACAGCACAGGGCTCAAAGGAATGTTTGGCGGGCTGTTCAGAAATCTTATCCAACCCATGCCATGATGTTGGTTTGTTATGATCCCAGGACACATGGTCATAGAGGGTGTTGAAGAGCACTAGAAAACCGATGAAGACCAGGCATGTATATTCTGGTTCAGACAACACGCGACTCAACATTTCAGAGCGTGCTTTGATCTCATTTTCTCATGTCGCTGGCTCCTGAAACCTATGGTTGTGCTGATGCTGATGCCGATGGCTCTCCAATTTCTCCTCATGGAGATTCGGAAGCTTTGCTCCTCAACATGAAGGATCCGGAGGTGGACGAAGCAGATACAAATGCAGACACTCCAGGTGATTTAGAGCAGGCAGAACCTGCAACACTCCCTCAGGATGCGACGGTGGCAAGTGAACCCAAATGCAGATGGTGTCCCCGTCAGAACATGGAAGTCGGGCAGACGACCAAAATGACATGCACATTGGTCATAAAGATGCTGTTCATGGTCTTACCACACGTCCTTTTCGTCTACACGGTGAGCAATGTCAAAGCGGAGAACCTTCAAGCATGCAACGATGAAGCAGGCTGCGTCTATCAGAGACTCTTGGACTCCAGGAGTGTTGCAAGCACTGGCGCATTTTTTGCGAGCGTGAGGAACGGGGAGGCCAACATCGTGACACTGAGCCCAAGCACTTACGGCCACCAGCCAGCTAATTTCACCTTTACAAGTGAGACCCATTCTTCAGAAGTAGATAAAATGGAACAACGCCTCCAGATTTCAAGGGTTGTACCACAGCTGCTCATGGAGATTGCACGACTACCCTGCAAGCTGTTTCAGACTAGCCCAGCACAACTGCCAGCGCTTTGTCAAGATATGACACTCACAGAGATGCAGGTCTCTTGCAATAGTCTATCAATGAAGATGGGGTTTGAAAACCATCTTCTCGGCGCTGGAATGTACACCTCTCTATTTTTCACAGCCTTGTGGGGGGTCTTGCACACTCTTGCATGACCTTTTGGTGTTGCTGAGCTACGCACCCCAGCGCTCCTTGCTTGTAGGATTTGTCGCTTTGATTCTTCAGACCCTGGCTGGAGTTGCAGGCTTGTTCTGGGCAAGTGGCTGCGCCCAAGTCTTTGCTTCACCACACCCAGTTGGGAACTGTGCCTGCTTTTATCAGATGCCTGTGTTCGAAGCTGTAGCAGCATTGATCAGCCCTGTTCTTTTGTTGAAAGGAACAGTTGACCAGTTCTTCTTGTGGGTGAACACAGCCGTGTATGGCGATTGCTTGTACCTCCAGATGCACAAGATACCGCACCATGTCGAAAGAGCTGCCATGAGCTGGCGGGAGGGACATCTCATGGTATGGCCGCTGGAACTTTCAAAACAAGTCAAGTTGCAGCCACCGCATCCTGAACGCGATGGATTTGTACGGATGGTTTTCAGAATTTGTTGGCTTCTTGTTCTTTGGGCCTACATGCCTATGCTGATTGCCTCTGTAATCGGAGGGAGCGTCAGCAAATTGAAGGCACTCACGGCTGATAAATGGCTCTTGGATTTGGTGATAGGAATTGTTCCAGCCATAGCACTTGCGATTGGATGGATCGTCCTATGTTTGCTTGATGCCTTTTTTGCAGTGAAGATCATGAGAATGCTTAAGGAGAGAGTGCCTTGGGTAGAGAAGGGACAGCCACGGAAATGCCAGACCTGGTTTTACCCCTGCGTCGTGAGTGCCATCCTTCTTGTTTGCAACGGTGAGTTCTTGTGGCATATTTTTGCGGGTACTTTCGGAAACTTCTGGCCTCCACGGTGGCTACAAGATCTACCAGAGAGGGAACGTGCCGTGCTTGACAACGACTTGATGTCATTGGGACTCAGCTCAGTGATCAGTTCGGCAGTGGTGCCGGCCGTATTTGCCCTTTTTGTTCCACCCTTAAGACTGTTCTTGACGCTGATGGGGCACGATCAGATGACGAGTGCAACAAGCTTCTTAAGTTTTGCCAGGATGCATCAGAACCTCATCCAGTCTTTTCCACACCTGGAGAAGCTGCTGCGGGAAGCAGAGGACGATCCCTACATGGAAGAGTCAGCATGGCAGCTGAAAGTGAAGATTTGGTTGGCTTCTATTGGGCACAACCGAGTTTCTATCCCTCTCATTGCTCGTCTTCGCCGGGCACTGCCAAGAAAGGACACAGAATAACCAGTTCGTACACCTTGAAGGAACTCCGAAAGGAGCGAGGAAAGGAACCTGAAAGGACGGAAACACATACATGACGTCCCTACAACCACAACTGTTCGAAGAAAAACAGACAAAAGTCCTGCGCGATCACTGTATCGATCATCGTATCTTCAAAAGCGGGCACAACTTGGATTAGTCGGTGAAAGTGGATAACACTGTCCACAATATAAGATTGGGGGTTTTGCAACGTTGGGTCTTTACTTTATGCAAAACAGAGGAAGAAATCTTAGCCAAAACAACTCATCATCCAATCATCTCAGCGCAGAATCCTGTTTGCTCCATTTGCTTTCGCGCCCGACTGGACCTCAAGTCGCTGCAGGCCCAGAGCAGCAGCTCCGCCGGCGCGCTGCGCGGCAGCGGCGGCGCTCTGCCTGGCAGCGGCGGCGCTCTGCCTCTTGGCGCTCTGAGTGTGACAAAGAGTCCACGCAGGACTGCGGACTTGTCTTCATGCATGTTCACGACTTCTACAGAGCTTTTGTTCAGTTGGTGGCTGTGGTGCGTGTTTAGGTTTGGAGGCTCTGTGGTCTTCAAACAGCTTTATTGAAAAAACACATGCAGACACTGACTTGTGTGCAACATGTCGACAGTGCAGGCACTAAAACGTAAAGCTATCAGTGCTTTGTCGTGTTTTCTGGACTTGGCACCATTCTTTTCTCATGGAAATCACCCTCCCTGGTCTGATAGGGATGAACTCCAATGACAGCGGATCTTCCTGCCTTCCCAGAAGCTGTTTGGATTGGATGACTAGCTAGAGGGTCCCAACCAGCTTCTAGTTGTATTACCGGGGCATTTTTTCCTTCCCTCCTGTACCAGGCCAGGAACCTGTCCACGTCTTGACGCGCCGGTGCCCCTGCAACACCGCGCTCCGCCTTCCCTCCGGGCTGCTGCCGGAACGAAGCATTGAGGCGGTGATGACTGGAGAACGCGCCAAGTGTCTTCGCCCTGCGCTGCGACTAGTCACTTGCGGCTGGGACTCAAAAGCTGAACAGACAACTTGTGAGGAGCGCCACGCTGAGCAGGTTTTTCTTGGGAAGGGATGAGGAGGAAAGGTGGGAGGGTGGTCGGTGATGGTTAGTGGATGGTGCTTGGATGATGGTATGTGGATGGAACCTGAAGAGTTGAAAAGAGTTGAACACAGATGTGGTGACAGGATCTGGATAGCTTGGTTATTGTTGTTTTTTTCAAGGGATGGATGACACTCAGAAGGACTCAAGGAACACACTTCAGCCTTTTGCCTGATTGTTTCTGCTACCATTTGGACCTGGATGACTGGATTTCCATCATCGGAACAAGGCTGCCTTGGTGCTGACACGCCATCTTTATAACTCCATTTTGCTCTCAGGTCAAACAAAACGTCCCAAAAACCTGCACTGCGCGTGCGAACCAAACGCCGTGGACCGGCGTCGCGCGTGCCGACACAGCTTCTCGCCCTCTCGGTCTGCTCGCTGCTTTGCCCCCGAGGCTGAGAGT